CGGCAGGCAACTCCTCCTTCGCGTCCTCGGCAGGCAACTCCTCCTGCGCGTCCTCGGCAGGCGACTCCTCCTTCGCGACCTCGGCAGGCAACTCCTCCTGCGCGTCCTCGGCAGGCAACTCCTGCGCGACCTCGGCAGGCAACTCCTCCTGCGCGACCTCGGCAGGCAACTCCTCCAGGGTATCCTCGGACCGCAGCTTCTCAGGCAGACACATATCCACCGGATCCTTGGGCGGGTATCCCAAGCTGGCTAGTTGTTCGGGTGCACATCCTGCACCCACCAGCTGTTCTTCCGGCGCGTCCCTGGCATGCAGCTCCTCCGATACGTCCTCGGTAGGCAGCTCCTCCGACACGTCCTCGGCAGGCAGCTCCTCCGACACGTCCTCGGCAGGCAGTTCCTCCGATACGTCCTCGGCAGGCAGCTCCTGCGGCAGACCGGCACCCACCAAATCCTTGGGCGGGTGTCCCAAGCTAGCTGGTCGTTCGGGCGCACATCTTGCACCCACCAGCTGTTCCTCCGGCGCGTCTTCGGCAGGCAGTTCCTCCGGCAGTCCGATGCCCACTATACCCTTGGGTGAGCATCCCACGCCAACTGGTCGTTCGGGTGCACATCCCGCACCCACCAGTTGCACAAGCGGACATGCAAGGGCGGTCAGCTCCTCTGACTTCCGTGCCGGTGCAGTCGCTTCCTCTGGCGTGCATTTCGCCGTCGGCCGAGGCTTCTTCGACCGTGCCTGCTTCTTCCGACGGCCGTTCCCCGGGAGTCTCCACCGCTTTTGTCCGTCTTGCCGGCAGGTTTCCCGCTGCGACGGTTCCTTGGGCAGACGGATCGTGTCCATGTGCGACTCCATGGTCAGCCGCTCCTCTGGCCAGCGTTCTACTCCCGGGAGTTTCATCTGAGTCACCCGGACGACGTGCTCCCTTGCGAGAGGAGGGTCAGAGCAAGGCCAACAGAGAGGACCCACGTTCCTCCACAGCGCTTGCTCTGCTTTCCGCCGTTTTTCCTCCTCGCGCCTCTTGCGGCGCTGCTCTTCCCGCAGCTGCCTCTCCTCCTCCCGTTTCTGGTAGTAGCGATCCAGCTCCTCGCGTCTGATCCTCTCCTGCTCCTGAATGTAGTGATAGAAGGCCATGCCTTCAAGGCCCAGCCTGTCACCTTCCTCCACGTAGTTCCTCATGGTGCCGTTTTCCAGACCGTCTGATCCTGGCAAGGTCGCCAATGTCAGGTTCTTTAGACTTAAGGCGTATCAGAGCGGTCAGGTCAACGGAAACACACCAGAGGAAACATACATAAGGTTTATTGCTACGGGCACTATTTACACTACATAAACACAAAAACAGGATATTTACACAAACAACAAGGAGAGGATCCAGCGGAGCACACGAGGTCACATGGCGGAAGGGAGCACACAAGTCAAAGTCACGGGACAACTGTAGAATTTTCGACCGGTGCTCCTTTTATGCGCCGCGCCGATGTAAAGGCCGCTACCCTCGTTCCTCAACCGGTGAGCGAGCCAATCGCGAGAGACTCTGGGAGACCTAAGACCGCCGCCTGGACTGAGGTAAACATCGGCGATGGTCCAGAGCAATCTCGCAGTTGTGACATATATATATATATATATATATATATATATATATATATATACATATATATATATATCTATATATATACATGCATAGACACACACGTGAATCTTTTACTTCACAACTATGCCCTTTCCCAAATCCTCCACCTCCCCCTCCCCTTCTTTATTTCACCCCTTAACTCCTTCCCCTTCAAATTCTCCAACACCAACACGTTATCACTCGTAGGATATCTAATTGGAATATTCGCGGCTTCCACCCCCCTAACCCCTTGCCCGTTGTTGTCGTTGAGGGGAGGGGGCTTAGCAGGCGAAGACTGGGACCCAATGCTGGGAACCCCTGCCTTGGGAGTCAGCCCTCTACTCAACTAATTTTGCATGGTCTTTTTTCCCCTCCTGCTTTTCCGTTTCTGTCCCTTCCGCAACCCTTTCTATTATCCACTTCCTAAGGTGTGAGAGCCGCGCTGAGAGGATGAAGGGCTGTCTTTGTACCAGTCTTGAACGGCCTGAGGGAGCCATGGGCACGGTATTCCCCTGTTTTAGTTGTTTAGCCTTTATCCCTCTAAGGGACCCTGAGGCGTGGACTGTTTCTCTCCCCAACATACTCCAGGCTTACCATAGTCGGTAATGAAGATGTTATACCTTTATTAGGGGCAATGAGGCTTGCCCCTTCATCAAAATGCCCCACCTATTCAAACTGCCCGATTCCCCGACCCTAGGTTCTCCTTTGACCACAGCTCCGAACACTACAACTACTACCCCCTCCTCAATGCCTACTAGTACATTATCTATCCAAGTCAACACTCAATCTTCAGGAGACATTTCTACTCTTCCAACATGCTCAACTTCATCACCTCTACCCCGACAACCTTCTTCACAAACTACCCCATCCTCCCTTATTACTACTTTACAACCTTATTGTCCACCTCTCTATAATACTACCTCCCTCAACACTACTCCCTCTTCCACACGCCCCGTGCTTCTACTATACCATCTCTATAAAAAACCTTGAAAACTCTATTTAGCCCAGCCAAAGGGTTCCGAGTTTCGTGATCCCTCCCACAGCTCCCTACTCTGACAACACTCTTCATTTCCAGCAATGTCTCCAAAAACAAGTAGGCAAAGTCTCTTTTCGTAGCCGACCTAATCATTCTCGTCACAGTAACATACGAAAACCAAGCTATAGCATTACCAAATCTAACTGATCTCTGGTAACCCCATTCCTGCAGAACCTCATCCAACCCTCAATACGTGCACCGGGACTGTCTCTATCTCCTCAGCAAACTGCACTCCTTAACAAAAATTGGTCAGATTGTGAAGACTTACTCGCCTGCCTCACAGACTACGATGCAATATCATTACAGTGTTACTCCGTTCCTCCCAGAGGTCATTATAAGAACCCCACTAACATTGCCAAAATTGCTTTCCGTAGACATGACCTTCCCTTTAATGTTTACATTGTTCACTTTACATGAAGCCATACAGGAAGCACGTCGACGAGGTTTTTCTCTTACTCCCTACTCCTGTAATGTCGCTCGTCTGCCACTCTTCCTTCCTCCCAAGACGTTCCTACACCCTCCTCTATACCTATCCCTCCTGCATCTTACTTCCCCACTTCTACCTTCTACCTTCCCCAGTCAAATTCTTTTGCCATTCTAAATCCAGACACTCCAATCTACTGCAGCCCCTCCCCCCTCTCCCTCCCCGCACTACCCGCAGCAGACGGACTAAACGTTTCACCCCTTCTCCTACCACCTCCACCAACCTTTGCCTCTACTCCTCAGACACCAGTCTCCTCTTCCCCCCTACATAAGGAAACCTTTGTCTCACAAAACTCCCCAACCAACTCCTTTACAGAAACTTGAAGATATTCAAAGCTATCTACTCGAGTCCATAATTGACACCGAAACCCCTCATGCCAACCTCAATTTCCACAACTCCCGCTACCTCCACACTTAAAGTGACTGCCGATATCCATCCTCCTCCTACTCATATTCCCCTTGACCCCTTCCTCTTACCCCTTCCCAACACAACCCATCCCCCCAGCTCCAGCTCCACCTACATTAACCCTCCCTCCATCCCCTCTATTCCTTCCACTCCCTCCTGGATACACAAGTGAATCCCTTATGTCACAACTATGCCTTTCCCCAGATCCTCCACCTCCTGATACAACACCACCTGCCCCTTTCATTCCTTATCTCTAATTTCCAAACTCCAGCCTCCTTTCTTTGTAGTTGGTGATTCTAACTGCCGCCACACTCTTTGGGGTAAGTCTATCACTACCTCCCGTAACTGATCCCTAGAACACTTCCTCTTCACAACTGACCACATTATTCTTAATTAAGATACTTTGACATGCGAACACAATCTTTTTCATTCCCTGATGTCTCTCAATGCTCCCCTTCTCTCCTTTTAGATTTCCACTGGTCAGTTATAGACCACTTTCCCTATCGTGACCACTTTCCAGACCTCCTTTCTACTACTTCATATGTACCACTTCCAATTCTCCACGCTGGTACTTTGATAGAGCCGTTTGGCGTACTTTCACTTTACTCTCTACTATTCCTACCCCTCCTTCCCTCTTCTCGTCCGTTTCAGAAATGATACAGTGTTTCACAGCTACAGTCCTAAGAGCTGCCTACACAGCCATTCCAAGAAACCCAATGCCTTATACCTCGCAAAGGTTCATCATCGTTTGACGGCATGTGTTTAACCAGGGATTTTTAGCATGCACTGCTCCGAAGTGCTCCGGATCGCCTTCACTTCTAGGGAATGAGGATTTTTTTTTTTTTTTTTTTTTTACACATATCCTTGTTTCATATTTGTGAGGGATACAACCTCCTGCCTCTTACTTTCTGGCTTAGATATATCTTGTAATTTAGTGTTTTAGCTAGGATGCTAATAGTAAACCTTTAGTATGGTTGAACCTGTCTGGCGTGGGCTTAAGAAAAGCAACACACGAGCCCACTCACCACGTCGGGATACATTCCCATGCGCATTTACTTTTGTGTGTTGTGTATTATATATCCGTTTGTGTACGAGGGGTAGACACACACATATATATGTATGTTTATGTATATGTATATATATATGTATATATATATATATATATATATATATATATATATATATATATATATATATATATGTATATATATATATGTATATATATATATATATATATATATATATATATATATATATATATATATATATATATATATATATATTGTTTCCGTTTCTTTCACGTATGTCCTAAGTGCATGATTAAAACGGCAGTTTAGTTAGGTTTATTAAATCAGGAGAATTACAACATTTCTCAGCAATACTTTATTATGATTTACCAAATTATATTGATACTACAGCAATGATAAACCGCAGCCAAACATTGCGGCATCATGCACATGCGTATTTCCCCCACATACCTTTGAATATGGCCATTAAACTCAAGAAGCATCCAAATGCTTTTTTAATTTTTTTTTTTTTTACAGTGCATCATGCAGTGTATAAGTGTACCTGATCCTCTCTAACGTAATATGACAAAATTCAACAAGTTTCCCAATGCAAATAAAATGTCAGAAATACTTTACTTTTTGGAAAGTACAGTGCCAGTGGGAACAAAAAAAAAAAAAAAAAAATGTAATAAGCGTTCCCTAACTTGCGCAAATAGTTCACAAAAGAATGGATGTCTCGTTTCAGTGATTCCTAGTCTTAGATTCCCAGATTCCCGACTAACTGCACGAGGGGAGAACATTAGTTATGTTCGGGGCTGATGTTAACTGCGGGGCGCGATAACACACAGGGTTGGGGCTGTTTGCCGTCACGACCGTCAACATCCAAGTGAGGAAGGAGGAAACCTTTATCCAAACATCGACATTATTACGGTTGCGTCTGTTCTTGGTGTAGACGGTTGGCTGGTTCTTGCTGTACCTGGCGACGATGTTCTTATTTTTGCCCTTCTTCTTCTTCTTCTTCTTTTTCTTCTTCTTCTTCTTCTTGTCCTCATCATTCTGTTGTTTGGGCTCTTTTTTATTTTTTGCGGGTTTCGTGCCTCTATTTCCATTTGTCCTCTCACTTATATTCTTATTTGTTCTTTTTGTCTGTATACTGGATTTTTTCTTCCTTTTCTTCATTTTCTCTCTCTCTCCCTGGTTCGGTTTCCTATTATTCTGCTTGTTTATATTTTT